AGTATTTCTAACTAACAGGGTTTTGATGAGAATTAAATGAAGCAACGTAAAAACAAGGCTTAGCCTCAAGTCAGGCATCAGGTACTTGGTAAATTCTCGATAAATGCTAGTTCTCATGATTATTATTATTAACTATTGCTGTATTTTATAAGACCTGAGTTCCAGCCCAGGCTCTGCCGCTGGCTGCTTTGGGGACCTTGGCAAGTGTTTCAGCTCTCTGAGTTTCTTCTGTGAATTGAAGGACTGAAATCCAGCGAGAATTCCAATGCATCAAAAGCAAGTTTCCACCCCGGATCCCACAGCATTTTAGTTTTATGTCTTTAGACCCAAATTAACTGCACAGGCAGGGTCACAGGGAACCACTCAGGGAATGAGACGGGCTGCCCTCCTTTGTCACTCGGTAACCTTCTGTCACCTGTTCTCAGCTGACTGAGTGGAGCGTCCACTTAAGAACATTCTCTTCGTCATAGCATGACGCGGCAAACTTGGGTGGCTTGCTTTTAATTTTAGCTTCATTCATGTATGTTGGAAAAGTGACGGGTCCTGACGTACAATGATTTGACCTACGATTTTTTAACTTTACCATGGTGTGAAATCGATACATATTCAGTGGAAACTGTACTTTGAATTTGGAATTTTGATCTTTTCCCCAGGTTAGGATATGTGATCTGATCCTCTCTGGTGATGCTGGGGAGCTGCGGGGACCCACAGATCCTGGTGAGCACGCGATCACCAGGATAAACAACCGATACACTCATAGCCATTCTGCACCCAGACAGCCGCTCCGTTTTTCACTTTCAGTACCGTATTCAATAAATTACATGAGATATTCAACACTTGATTATAAAATAGGCTTTGTGGGGCTTGCCTGGTGGTGCAGTGGTTGAGAGTCCGCCTGCCGATGCAGGGGACACGGGTTCGTGCCCTGGTCCGGGAAGATCCCACATGCCGCGGAGCGGCTGGGCCCGTGAGCCATGGCCGCTGACCTGCGCGTCCGGAGCCTGTGCTCCACAACAGTGAGAGGCCCGCGTACCGAAAAAAAGAAAAAAAAAATAGGCTTTGTGTTAGATGATTTTGCCCAGCTGTAGGCTAATGTAAGTGTTCTGAGCATGTTTTAAGTACGCTAGGCTAAGCCATGCTGTTTGGTAGGTTAGGTGTATTAAATGCATTTTAGGCTTAACAATATTTTCAACTTACGCTGGGTTTATTGAGACATAATCTCATCCTAAGTCAAGGAAGATCTGCGTACCCAACTGTTTCTGGGTCCAAGAAATCATACTGTGAATTGAACCAATTAGATTCTTATAAAATGGTCTTGCATTTCATTGATTTGAGTTTAGAAAGGAGAAAGCAAGTGCTGTAGCTAAATAAAACTTGTGGTGGCAGGTGGGCAGCGGAAGGCCACCGTTCAGTGTCCTCAGGGACTCTCCTTTCTTAGGGCTTTTGATCATCAGACCTTTCATTTTCAAAGGAAAAAAATAACAGCAGCCTGTCGATACTGGCAGATTCCTTTTTCCACAGCAGGAAACAATCTGACGAGTGTAAAGGAAGCCTTAAATCCTAGATCATTCGTGAACCTCTTTGAGTACCTACTGTGTGCCAAGCATCAGAGAAACAACACAGATAAGATGGAGAGGGTTTACTTACTTAATGTCTGGCATATCCTAGGTGCTTAATAAAAATTTCAGTAAGAAAATGAATATGGGCATTAACTGTTAGTAGTTTGGCTGTCACATCACATCATTTTGATGACTCGTGTAACACTGGGTTACATTTTAAATCACCTGTCCTAGAAGCAGTCAGCCAACCAGGTCTGGGGCCAGGAGGAAACCGTTGAGATGGTGGACTTGACACCTGCCGTTGGTCCAGCATAGCAGCCGAGAGCATGGGCTGCCTATGTCAGAATCCTGTCTTCATCTCTTCCTCGTCACGAGACCTAGGCGAGTTCCCTAACCTTATTGTGCCTCAGTGTTCCCATCTGTAAATTGGGGACAGTAGTGGGCCCACCCCATAGGGTTGTTATGTGGATTAAATGTGTGCTCTGCTTGGTGCACTGTGGGTGCCCTCCAGATGTTAGCTGCCACCCTCTGCGTGTGGTGGTCACTCGACCTCCTCTGATGCATTAGGCACACAGGATAAATAAACCCATGTGCGTGATTGCTGGCCCTTCCTTTGCCTCCCAGGCCTTAGCAAGTAGGTCCTCATTGCTATCATTTGGGTATGAAAGAGCTCAGTCATCAGGTTGGAGTCTCAGCTTGGCAACTTTCTCCCTGCATGGCCTTGACCTTGGTCAAGTTCCTGAGGTTAAGGGAGGCTCAGAGAGGTTATCTGGAAAATACAGGTACTTCCTTTACTGTGTGAAGGATTATGCTGAACCAAGTGCCTGGCACACAAGGCGTACTCCGTAAATGGTGGGATTGTTATCATCCCCATAAAAAGCACCTAAGGACCTGGCTTTTGTGGCCTGGGGTGCCAGAGCTGGTTGGTGGGGCCCCCACTGAAGTTACAGGCTAGGCCTGCAGGAGGCCCCGAGGCCGGCCGGCCTTGGGAAAGGGCCCACACGGTCAAACCATTTTAAAGGCCTTGTAGTAGAAAAAGAAACCAATTAAATAATACTGCCCCCCATAAAAGCTGAGTTTTAATGGGTTCTGTGGTGGGGTTTTCTCCGTGGCGGTCTCATAGCCATAGGTCTTGGGGAGACGGTCTGCCTCTATGGGGACAGTTTAATCTTGCACTGCGTGGGCATAATTTTACAAGTTTTACGGCTGTTTTGTCTCCCCTGAAGTGTTGCTGTGTCCTTGTGCGCTGAGGGCAACCTGCGTGCAATTAACAGTTTACCTCCTTTTGGGTGGAAATGAAAAGTGAAGTAATAAATTAAAGAAAAACACAAGGTGGATTTTTCCCCTCTTGTGGAGACACCCGTGGCAGAACAAAGAACCAGTGTCTTCCCGGACCACTTACTCAGATTCTAATGGCTTTTATGTGTAGACATTTGCCCGCAGGATCCCCTCCTCCCCAGAGAGGGCTACAGGGCACGTTGGGTGTGTTTGGGGCTTGTACTGCCTACCCCAGGGCAGGGGTCAGCAAACAACTGCCCAGGGGCCACATCCAACCCACCGCCTCTTTTTGTGAAATGATTGGGAAAAGAAAAAAATCCAAAGAAGATTTCCTGACACATAAGAATTACATAGACTTCAGGTTTCAGTGCCAGAAATGGAGCTCTATTGGCACCTCATCCCGCCCGCTCGTTTGTGTGTCGTCTGGAGCTGCTTCTGCCCTGACCCAGCTGAGTTGAGAAGTTTCCATATACTGTGTGGTGCAAAGCCAAATACTCTCTTGCCCTTTATGGAAAAGGTTGGCTGACCCTGCTCTAGGAGGTAAAGGAAGTGAGAGAAAACAGCTTCAAGTTTCTTGGAATTGATGATTTATTCTCAGGGTTTCCATGGGGCTCAAAGTGACAAGTCAAGGGGGAATTGCATGAGAAGGAGTCAGTTCTCCTGGAGACCTTCCAGAGGAACCAGCTGCTTGTGGAGATGGCTCTCCTCGCTATTCTGACCTCAGGCTGGCTTCTGAGCAGAGGGGCCTGAGTTATCCCCCTCCGGCCAGCCCTCCCCGTCTGCCTGGCTTTCCTGTAAGACTCCCGAAGCCTGGCTTGAGGTCTGGTAACTTCTCATCAGCTCCCTTGATGATTCGAGAATAAAGAAGTTTCCACCTTCCCTCCCAGGAGGCAAGCGCTTTTTGTCATAAATTCTGTGCAGACCTAGTTGATGATCTCCAATAGCTCAGAAATTTGTAACAGACACTTTTTGGCCAGCCCCTGGCTTAAGCATTCTGCATATAGTAGTAACTCATTTAATCCTCACAACCAACGCAGGGAGTGAGGTCCTCTTCTCACCCCCATTTTACAGAGGAAGAAACAGGCACAGAGAGGTTAGGTATCTTGCTTAAGGTCACACAGCAGGTGTGAGGTAGAGCCAGGATCCAAACCCAGGCTGTCTGCTCAGGAGTGTCCTGCCTACTGCCACTACACTGGGGGAATTCTTTAGGCCTGTGAAAGGATCTGCTTTCCTTGTTCCCCCCCTGCCCCTACAATGTCATTCCACAGGAAAACGGCCTCCTATATGAGAAGGAAGCACTTGTTCCTTCGTTAATTCATCCCTCCCCCCTCCTTCTCCCTCCCTCCCTTCAACAAATAATTGTCAGGAGGGTGACTATGTATTAAACTCTGTGCAAGGGGCTTCACAAGTGAGGGGGTTTTGTGAACAAGAAGAATGAAAAAAGAATCTTTTTTCCTTTGAGAAACAGTTCTTAGTATCCTCAAAGCTGTTGGGTTTTTGAGAAGTTCACTTAATTCCTCCTCTTTTATTCATTGTAAGTGCTCATCCTTACAATGAGAACCATAAACCATAAATCTCATCCAGAACCATAAGTCCTCATCCTTTCTGCCTCAAGCTGATATTGTCATTAACAATAATGTAATGTACAAGAGGCTTTGGGGAGGCCGGCCCTCTGACTCACTCAGTGGGAAGAGCCCGCCTGGGGAAGGCCCTGCGCCGTTCTCCCCCTTGACACCCCGAAAGAGGGCTCCCGCATGGGCTCGGGAGCCAGGAATAAGAGCTCGTAACTGACTGTGGAGGGAGAAGGCTGCCGAACTTTAAAAATATCACCAAGTCTGGCGTTGGTAGAACTCGCTGTCTTGGGACAGCAGTTACAATGTCATCTGCAAAAGTTCAGGGTTTTAGGTGCCTGTCTTGTTTTCTGAAGGATTTGCTGGGCAGAATTTTCAGCATTATTTATGTCCTTCTGGGTGTGGACAAGCCTGAAGGCCAGGGAAGACCCATGGGCCCCCATGGCACCAGGCAAAGGATCAGTTCAGCCGGAAGCCTGTTCTCTCTCTTCCTTCCCCAACTGTTTCTTCTTCCCTCCTCTGTGCCCTTTTCTTGGTCAGACAGCAAACGTTTGTTGCTTATTTCTGATGCGCCTTCACTTTCTCTCCTCAGTCATGCGGAGGAGCCCCTTCGGTGTGGACATCTGCTGCCGGAAGGGGTCCCGAAGCCCCCTGCAGGAACTCTACAACCCGACCCAGGTAAGCCCTGGAAACGTCCTTGCTTCTCGGCTTGGTCTCCATGTGTCAATTTTTTGGGGGGCGGAGAGGGATTGAAAAACGCCCAAATTCTGGTCTTTGGGGATTTGAAACTTCCCTCCACTGCCTGGCAGTTTACCTTCAGTGGTTGCTTTCTTGGTTACCCTTTTGCTCTAGAATGGCTCTGAAATTCTAGTGAGAGGTATTTAGAATGAGAGGAACAGCTTGGTAGAGTGTGGGGCAGAGCTTTCAGACCTGCCCAGGTTTGGGATCCCTGAGAGCCATACAGTTGCAGGTGCCAGGAAGGGGACTCTGAAGTTGCAGAGCCTGCCAGGCTGTGCAGTCTCCCCCGTGACACCCCCAAAGAAGGCTCACATGGGGGTGAACTCAACACCCAGCTCCCATATCTGGTTATTAGAGCCCAACGATGTCCCCAAGAGTTGCACCTCACTGCGGCAGTTTGACAGGACTCCCTTGGGTGGGGAGACTTTTTGCTTAAGTGACTGTCACAGTAAGTTGGACTTGATTATGAAAAGAGTTCCTCTCTGAGCAAAATAAGTTCAACCAAGGTAAAGTGCCCTCCATGGAAAGCTAGAAGCAAAGGGAGGAGGCCTGGTTGCCATGGTGATGTCCTTGTTGGTGTGTGTTGGTCTTGACCTGGAGACTCCAAGGCTGGTCCTTTTGCGGGAATATGAATTAGCTTGTGATGCCAAGAACTGGTGAATGAACGGCTAGTGGCCCATTAGCTGACTTTGACAGCTGGGGAGAAAGGGGGGAAAATGTACTGCTTTGGCTGTAATCTTTGAACTTTATTTTGTATCAAATTCTTGATTTAGTATATCTGGGGACCAAGGTGCTTGTTAGAGGAAGAAACTGCTTGGTTCCCCAAAAGTGATGAATTCCCAGAAGTCTTGCAAAGGGACGAGGCTGAGAACTTTCTGATTCCACACCTCTATCCTGTCTTTCACCCGTACTCCTGTCTGGAAAAATGGGCTCCTGAATTTGTGCAGAATGGGTGGCCTAACCATGTTAGTTCACTCCCCTATCCGCCCACCACTTTGGAGCTCAGTGTGATGGGGCCAGATTCGCCAGGTGATTGCAAACTCAGATTGCCTGAGGCCTCCTTTACTGGGTTCTCTGGTGACGCAGCAGGGAATTTTTATTTTGTTTTGGTTTTGTTTTTTTTTAATTTTTATTGAAGTATAGTTGATTTACAATATTGTGTTAGTTTGAGGAATACCGTATAGTGATTCAGTTATACATATATATATATACATATTCTTTTTCTTACATTCTCTTCCATTATAGATTATTACAAGGTATCGAGTATAGTTCCCTGTGCTACATACAGTAGCTCCTTGTTGGTTATTTTGTATTTGGGTTTTGTTTGGTGCCCAAATAATCTGATTATTACAGGCTAGTCTCCCAGCCTGTTCACACATTGGTCTTAGGGAAGAGGATTTCTGGTAAGCCATGTTGAAAACAACACATGCTATTGAGATGCAAAGCATCCCTCTCTTTCAGTTGACATCCTCTGTTCTCAGATCATTTTCTACGTCAAAACCAAACCATTGAAGTGCTCCTTCTTTCCTGAGGAAATTTTATGGGCAGCATATGGGTGTCTTGGGAGGAGCTATTTCTGAAGTAGATGCCCCTGTGGACAGGAAGTCCATGGACTGTGTCTGCGCCTGTCACTATTGTGTCCCTGTAGTGGGTGGCCCCAAATATCTGTGACTGAAAGAATGAAAGTCCAGGTTTAAATTCCTACTTCACCTCCAGCTGGTTGTGCAACCTTGCATACATGATGAGTCCTCTATAGGGGTCAGCTTTCCCATCTCTCTGGAACGTTGGGAGGATGAAATAATTCTGATGTGTCAGGGGCTATGTAAACATAACCCGTCATCACCACGGTCATGAGAATGGCTTCACTCGTGGAAACCTTGATTTTAAGAGTCAGACCTGGGTTCGAAGCCTGGTCTCCTCATTTATCAGCTGTGTGAATGGGCACAAGACATGTAACCCCTCAGAGACGGCCTTTCTCCTTTATAACACGGTGCTGACAATTCCTGCCTTGCAGCCTTCCATGAGAAGATGTGCCTAGCTCAGTGCCTTTTATGGAGTTTGCTCATTCCCAGATTCATTCATGCATTCACTCATTCATTTCTTCACACACTGTTACGAGTGCCCACTATGTGTAGCACAGTGTGCCACAGAAGGGTGAGCCACAGAAGGGTGAGCAAGGGGCTGTGTGTGGTTAGCCTTCCATGTCTGGTTCTCCTTGTTATCCCAGAGCTGGCTTGAGTGGGTTATCTGGTGAGGGGGACCCTGCTTGGTCCATTTGTAAACCAATCAGAGGAGAGAGAACCTTCCTGGGTAGAGCTCATCCCTTCCATCTGATGTTGGGTTCAGATGCTCACTTAGAAGCCTAGGACCCGGGAGGGAAGATGGGGCTGGAGAGGCAGCTCTGGGAGCCATTTGTGAGAGCCTAGGTGGGTGAGTCGTCAGCCTCCATCAAGCACTCATGGGCAAGCTGTCTGGCCCCTTTTGCTGGTAGCCAGGAAAATGTCCCTGCAGGAGGATCTCCCTGTTTCCTCGGGATGTTGTCCCGGGATGTTTTTTCTTAGGCTGGTTTCCTTTACAAGCTGCAATTATGTTCTCCTCCCATGCACGTTCCGTCGGTGGCGCTTCTCAGAGAAACCGTCTTGGTGACCTTTGGGGATGCCGTGGGCCGGGGAGCTCAGAGGAGAGAAGGGCGCAGGAGCTTCTGTTGAGTTGAGTAGGGTTTTGTGTCGCTGAGACATTAGCAAACATTGCATCCGTTGGGGCTTGGTTGTGGTTTCTCGTGTTCCCCTACCAGCCAAGCTGTGGAAGCCGCTAAGCCTGGATTGATGTTATCACAGAGGCAGATGACAAGCCCTGTAATTGCTAGAAACCGAACTGCTCCCGGAGATGCCGTTTCCCCATTTTATGTTGGTTGGTGATTTGCGTTTGATATATAATGGTGAAAATAGGAACTGTTTATCTTAGATGATAAGAAAACCAACATAATGGCGGGAAGCACCATCTTAGTTAGCAGGTGCTGGTACTGTAGGCCAGATGCTATCTAGATGCCTACAAACATCTCGTGGGGTGCTGGTATTAAGCCCCGCGCTAGGTAGTGCACCCCCACTTTAGGCTGAGGAGCTTGTCACACAGCTTGTAAGAAGCAGAGGAAAGATTCAAATCCAGGACGGACTCCAGATGCATTTGTCTCCATGATGTATTCACTGTCACCGGCAGAGTTCCCTTGGCAGGAATTACCCCATACAAAAAAGAGAGAGGAAAAAATCTTATCCAGATTTTCACTGGACGAAGTCTGAAAAGCTCCCTTAGGAAAATTGGCTATAATCCGATTTTAGTGTCCAAGGTTTTCTCATTTTAGTGCCTCACAAACCCCTAACCATTAAAACAACAACTGGTGAAAAAAAAGTTTGTAGTTGATATTCTTAGAAAAACTGCACTCTGATGTCTTATAATTTTCCTGGTTCTCTGCTGTCTTCCTGGCCCCAAAATAAAACGTAATTGCTGATCAGATCAGCTGGCGTCAAGTCACCGAAAGTTCAGGAGCCGCCAGCTGCATATTTGTGGGCCGAGCACATCTGTGGGCCGCCCGGCTCAGCTCAGACTGCAGGGCAGAGCCATGCCGTCAGCCATTAACAGGGCATAATTGCGCCTAAAATGCCAGCGAGGGTGAGACAGCTTGTCCTGCCTCGCCCGCCTCCCGGTCCTCTCGTGGGTTCCCTGAAGTCTTCCCAGCATCACTCATGTGGTTCAGCCCTGCCCCGCCTGGTTCTTTCTTTAGCATTTATACTTGCTCTGTCATTACCACGTTCTGAGAATACAGATACTCAGCCCAGGGGCTGACCAGGAACTCCTAAGTGCTGAGTCTAGGAGGTCTTCACTCATGCACCAGTGACGTACGGGCCTTCCTAGGGGCCTCTGAGGACCAGTCAATATAATATTTTGACCAGTCAACATTTTATTATAATAATAAAATTGGATCTTTATTGGTGCAATCTTCAATGTGTTAAAAGTAAATTTACTTCTCCATAAGGTAGGCTCGAGGAGGAAGGATGGAGAGAGGGAGAGAAGGGAGGTAGGAAGGAAAGAAGGAAGGGAGAAAGAAAGGAGGAGAGTTACTGTTCATTGAATGTATAATACACATCAGTGACTCTTCTAGGTGTTTTCCACACGTATCTAATGGAATCTTCACAACAATCCTAAAATCTGATAGCCCCATTTTTCAGATAAGTTAAGTGAAGCCCGGAAGGACTGAGCAATTTGCCAGGGTCCCACAGTCCCTAAACGGTAGTGCCGGCTCTATCTGACCTGGCGAGATAGTGGGAGGGAAAGAGCCTATCCCGTTATCTTTCCCAGGGGGAAAAATGCTCCCTTGAGGTTCTTTTTCATGGTGACTCAAGCTGAGATCTGGGACGTGTTCCGGATAGTTGTAAAATTCCCAAAGGCAGGGGCCAAGGCTCATGGAGTGGTATGGAATGCACAGTAGATGTCCAATAAACAATTGCAGATTTTTTTTTTTTTCTCACTGAACATGGTATCTTTGGAGGGGCCTTTGTCTCCTGTCTGGAACCAGACTAAGCAGGAGTCACCCCCAAGAACTCTGCTGTAGGATAGCACAGCTTGGTGGCATTTGGAAGTTGGGGTCTTTGATTAAAGTTTTAGATTGAAAAAAGCTTGAATTGTCCAAGGGAGGGTGGGAAACTCTTCTAGCTCCAACCTAAATAGTTTTCTGAGCAAGGCTTGCCAAGATTCGTTTTGTCTACCGATGCTCATAGGATAAACAGAGGAAAAAGACGTGTGGAAGAGAGGCGTGTAGGTAAGAGAACATGACAAGTGCTTGTGTGATCGAAGCATTCTGAAAGGTTATGGGAGAATCAGGAGTGAGCAGTTAACCCTTTGAGGCACAGGGCACAGTGCGAGGCTTTCTAGAGGAGATGGCATTT